GTTCAACATATGTAAATCAATAAATGTAATCCACCATATCAATAAAGCCAAAGTAAGAATCACTTGATTATTTCTATAGATGTAGAAAAAGCTTTTGATAAGGTCCAACATTCATTCATGAAAAGAATCTTACAGAAAATTGGAATAGATGGTCTTTACCTCAATGTGATAAAGGCATCTATGACAAACCAACAGCCAGCATCATACTAAATGGCCCAAAACAGAAGGCCTTTATCTTAAAATCAGGTACAAGACAAGGATGTCCCTTATTACCACTCCTATTTAATATAATACTGGAAATACTAGCCAGAGCAATTAGACAAGAGAGAGAAATAAAAGGGGTAAAGATAGGAAAAGAAGAAGTTAAATTATCATTATTTGCAGATGACATGATACTCTACATAGAAGACCCCCAAAACTCCATTGAAAGACTCCTAGATATAATAAATAAATTCAGTGTAGCTGGATACAAAATCAATACTCAAAAATCAATAGCATTTCTATACACTAACAACAAAATCACAGAGAGAGAAATAAGAGAAGCCACACCCTTCACACAAGCAACCAAAAAAATATTTAGGAATTACTCTCACAAAAGAAGTGAAATATCTATTTAGGGAAAATTATAATACACTGAAAAAAGAAATTGAAGAGGATTTCATAAAATGGGAAGAGATCCCTTGCTCATCGATAAGAAGAACAAATATTATGAAAATGGCCATTCTCCCAAAACTGTTATACAGATTCAATGCAATCCCAATAAAAATACCACAACATACCTCATAGATCTAGAGAAATCACTCCTAAAATTCATCTGGAACCAGAAGAGACCTAGAATTGCAAAGACAGTTCTAAGCTTCAAAGACAAGGCAGGAGGCATCACAATCCCTGACTTGAAGTTATACTACAAAGTAACTGTAGTAAAATCAACATGGTACTGGAATCAAAACAGAGATGAAGATCAATGGAATAGATTAGAAGATACAACCACAACTAAAAACACACTCAACCACCTTATCTTTGATGAGGGGCCAAACATGTTCACTGGAAGAACGACAGTCTCTTTAATAAATGGTGCTGGAAAAACTGGCTCTCTGTATGCCGAAAACTAGAACTAGATCCATGCCTATCACCATGTACTAAATTAAAATCTAAATGGATCAATGATCTGAATATTAAAACAGAACCACTAAATCTATTGGAAGACAAGTTGGGTAAAAACCTTGAAGACATAGAGGTAGGTAGAGAATTCATGAACAGGAATCAAACTGCATGGGAAATATTTCCCAGAATCAACAACTAGGATCATGTATTATTAAAAAGTTTCTGCACATCAAAAGAAATCTCTAACATACTGAAAAGAAAGCCTACAAACTGGGAAACAATCTTAGTGAACTGCCCCTCAGACAAAGGACTTCTGTCTAAAACATATAAAGAATTTAAAAGAATCAGACCCCCAAAATTCAAGGATCCAATCCAAAAATGGGCATCTGAGAAGAATACATAATTCTCAGATGAAGAAATACAAATGTCAAATAAATACATGAAAAATGTTCATCATCATTACTCATTAGAGAAATGCAAATTAAAGCCACATTGAGATTCCATCTCACTCCAGAAAGAATGGCCAGAATCAAGAAAACTACTAACAACAAATGCTGGAGAAGCTATAGGGAAAATTCTATGCCTTTAACATTCTATGACTCACAAAGACACAATAAGTAGACACACAGATGGGCTGAATAACATCTGGAAAGAAAAGATTGTTGTCAAAGACCAGAGACACAGGTCTTGTTGTAAATGTTTAAGGATGCTCCCCACACCAAGAGTTTTTGAAATTTTTCAAATATACAAAAACCTGAAGAATCTAACAAAAAATCCTACCTAGATTCTATACTGAATTTGTAAATCTATATAGCATCCTTTCATATGGTAATCCATTTTATTTTTATTAGGGTTTGTTTTATATGTGATAAAATTCAGCCATTTTTATGATCTAGTTTTGTGAATTTTAGATCTGTGCACAGTTGTATAACCACCTACATAGTCAACCCAACAAGGTTTCCCTGTGCTGTTTCTGAGTTGACACCCTCTCTCCTACAGAAACATTATATAACCTTCTTTGCTTTGTCCAGATGAGGTCGTGGTTGTAGTATGTGTAGGGAGAGAGACAGTGGCCAATGGATGGCTTCACATACATCATATCACGCAGAGCCACTTAACTGTGAGTTTTCCTTTCTCCAGTGGCCACAAGGTGCACATTCATTTGTCTACAAGAAGCAATGCCATGTTCTTCTCTAAATGGTGCCCTTCAAAAGATGGCCTTAGAAAGCAGTGCCATGATTTCTCCTGTTCAATTGTGGCAGGAGGCAATCACCCCTTGAAAAACCAGTATCTCTTCTCCAGTGCTGTGAATCATCCCTGCTGGCAACATATTCTTTCTATTTTCCCATGAAAACCTGTTTCCCACACCATCAGTGACATCAGAGGCTCAAAAACTGCCTTCTATACTATCAAATACGGTTGTGTCATTTTGTATTGTCTTCTGAGCAATTTTGATGATGACGAAATGAATGGGTGTCACTGAGGACTGGTAGAGCACTGAACTAAAACAGACCCTCACGTGAGCTAAGCACACTGGGGCACTATGACTATGTGGTGAATAGTGGTGCTGTGGTGCTTAGAAGAGCATCTGCTCTCAGAGCTGAGGAATCACACAGTGGGAAACATGACCTAATCCAGGGTGGGAAGGGTGATGGGCCAGTGGGACTATTCCAGGTAGTTAGACACCCTATGAACTGTAGAATGGTGACATTCATCTAGTTCCCAGGTTGGACCCTAAGTTCGGTCAATAATCGTGCAGTTAGTGAAGGGTGGGGTGATTTGGGCTCTCTGACATGGCTTTTTGCTATGATAAGGAATGAATAATATATAAAGGTATTCAGCCTTTAGTTGGAACTCAGATTTCTACAAAAGAAATTCAAACTGAGGCTAGATAAAACAATAATAAAATAGTGGGCTCACCAATTCCCTTACTCTAGTGTACAGCCAAGAGTCGAGGAGGACTGAGGGGAGCCATGTCATTGGACTGAGTCTCAGTCACAGGACTGAGAAGATCTCTGGCAGAATATGCTTAGCATGTGCTACAACTCCTAGTCAGTGTCCATGGCCTTGGGAACCTGGCAAAAGCCAAAGGCACCATTGTTGGCTTTATGACCTTCAATTTCCTGAATTCACATTCTAAATCTTTGTTTTTTTATTTGCTTAATAACTTTTTACTTTGCATGCCTAGCACATTATAAGCCCTTAACCAGGTCCAGTAGTAAACACATAAATGACTCAAATACAGTTCTAGCTCTCAGGGAGAACGTAGGTTAGCAGGAGACAAGTCTTGTACATAGAATGCTGTAATGCAGGGAGACAGTGGTCTCTCTCCACAGGATGGAGACCCTCTCACACTTCTTTTGGCCCCTCACACTGTCGTTTCTGTGGTTCTATGCCCCAAGGGAAATGCTCTGCATGTACTTCTGCAAGAGTCATGATCATACTCAGTCTCCACATCCATCTCACCCACTACTGATGGGATCCTAGCCCATCTCTGCATTCCTGCTCACCTACCAAGCCCTCTTCTGAGTGCTTTTATATTCTTTACCCTCACAACTGAAGTACATACTATTATCCTCAAGGCCACTTAGCTACTTAGGGATGCTGGACTTCAGGCCCAGTCTCCATGACCCAACATTCATTGCTCTTTGTTCTCCACTTCTCCACCTCCATTCATTGCTCTAGTGCCTCCTTGCTGGAGAGATGAGATACGTATGTTACTGGCTTTATGTAAGATCCTGTGTCCAAGTCCAGGAGTAACGCAACTAAGAGCTAGAAAAGGAAAATGACTTTTGTGATCACAAAAGCTTCATGGAATAGAGACATCTGGAATAGAACTTGAATAATGGAAAGATTTAGAAGGATAGGAATAATGGAACTGTGTACTTCAACGCAAGTAGAGGGTATGAAAAAAGGAAGAGGAATGTGAGGGTCATGCTATACTCAAGCAAAATTAATTGAAGCAGTCTATGGAAGGAATCAGGCGAATCTTAGAAACCCAAATGAGGCAGTACAAACCATACAACCTTTCTCTCACACGTGCATATCTCTTTTACCCTACTCAGGGATCATTATTCTAAACAACTTCTCTATACACTGACCTACCCATAGAAGACTCATCATGACCACAGCAAGTGAAGTGCCATCCTGAGTCTGCCAGCTCTCTTTGTGATTCCAAATGTCCAGATCCACATGAAGACAGTTTGAGTTGGGCTATCATTTATCATACTGAGAGAGCAGTGAGTCAGTCAGAATCTGGGCATTTAAAGAAGACTGATCTTGGAAGGTGGGCTCCTGATTACTCACATCCTTCCTATTTACTCAAGCATGTCTTCTTGTATCCACAGCCATCCCAACAACAACAGCCATCCCAACAACAGCCATCCCAACATCAACAGCCATTCCAACAACAACAGCCATCCCAGAAACTACAGCCATCCCAACAACAGCAATCCCAGCAACAACAGCCATCCCAGCAACTACAGCCATCCTGACATCAATAGTCACAACAGCTACCCCAACAACAACAGCCACCCCAAAAACCACCCCAACAACAACAGCTACCCCAACAACAACAGCCACCCCAACAACAACAGCCATCCCAATAACAGCCACCCCAACAGCAGCCATCCCAACAACAGCCATTTTAACAACAGCCTCAACAACAGCCATTCCAATAACAGCCACACAAACAACAGCCATCCCAACATCAACAGCCACCTCAACATCAACAACCACCCCAACAACAGCCACCCCAACAACAACAGCCACCCTAAAAACAGCCACCCCAACAACGGCCACCCTGAGAACAACAGCCACCCCAACAACAACAACCACCCCAAAAACCACCCCAACAACAACAGCCATCCCAGCAACAACAGCCATTTTAACAGCAGCCACCCAAACAACAGCCACCCCAACATCAACAACCACCCCAACAACAGCCAGCCCAACAACAGTCATTCCAACAACAGCCATCCCAGCAACAGCCACCCCAACATCAACAGCCATCCCAGCAACAACAGCCATCCCAACAACAGCTACCCCAACAACAACAGCCATCCCAATAACAGCCACCCCAACAGCAGCCATCCCAACAACAGCCATTTTAACAACAGCCTCCTCAACAACAGCCATTCCAATAACAGCCACACAAACAACAGCCATCCCAACATCAACAGCCACCTCAACATCAACAACCACCCCAACAACAGCCACCCCAACAACAACAGCCACCCTAAAAACAGCCACCCCAACAGTGGCCACCCTGAGAACAACAGCCACCCCAACAACAACAACCACCCCCAAAACCACCCCAACAACAACAGCCATCCCAGCAACAACAGCCATCCCAGCAACAACAGCGATTTTAACAACAGCCACCCAAACAACAGCCACCCCAATATCAACAGCCACCCCAACATCAACAACCACCCAAACAACAACCACCCCAGCAACAACATCTCCCCCAACAACAGCCATCCAAACAATGGCCACCTTGACAACAAGAGCCACCCCAACATCAACAGCCATGACAACAGCCAGCCCAACAACAACCACCCCAACAACAGCCATCCCAACAACAACAGCCATCCCAGAAACAACAGCCATCCCAGCAACAACAGCCATCCCAACAACCACCCAAACAACAGCCATCCCAACAACAACAGCCAGCCCAACAACAACAGCCATTCCAACAACAGCCATCCCAGCAACAACCACCCCAACAACAGCCATCCCAGCAACAACAGCCATTCCAACAACAGCCATCCCAGCAACAATAGCCACCCCAACTTCAACAGCCACCCTAACAACAGCGATCCCAGCAACAGCCACCCCAACAACAATAGCCATACCAATAACAGCCACCCCAACAACAGCCATCGCAGCAACAACAGCCATTTTAACAACAGCCTCCCCAACAATAGCCATTCCAATAACAGCCACACAAACAACAGCCACCCCAACATCAACAACCACCCCAACAACAACCACCCCAGCAACAACAGCCACCCCAACAATGGCCACCCCGACAACAATAGCCACCCCAACATCAACAGCCACAACAGCCAGCCGAGCAACAACAGCCATTCCAACAACAGCCATCCCAGCAACAATAGCCACCCCAACATCAACAGCCACCCTAACAACAGCCATCCTAGCAACAGCCACCCCAACAACAATAGCCATACCAATAACAGCCACCCCAACAACAGCCATCCCAGCAACAACAGCCATTTTAACAACAGCCTCCCCAACAACAGCCATTCCAATAACAGCCACACAAACAGCTACCCCAACATCAACAACCACCCCAACAACAACCACCCCAGCAACAACAGCCACCCCAACAACAGCAGCCTCCCTAACAACCACTTCAACAATAACAACCAGCTCAACAACAATGATTTCAACAGAAACAGCCATCCCAACAGCAACAGCCTCCCCAACAGCAACAACCATGCCAACAACAACTCCTAATACATGGATAGCAAAGCCAGGTAAGCACTCATATGCTTTTGTTCACTTACCAGCTGTCCTTGCCTCTCAGCACCTGCATTTGTACTTGCTTCTGGTGCAGAAATTACACCAACTTCAAATAGTTTATCTATATACAAGTGGGCCAGCTGGCTTTACCCAAGATTTTAGGGTCATTCAAAACTTTGGGGAGTCTTCTGGCTCTGCATCTCAAGATAAACAAAGTTCACTTTTCAGTGCTTGAGCAACTTATAAATACCTTACAGTAGAAGATTCTCTTTTATTCTTCTGCTAACCTTGATCATAGCTAATTTCATATTCATACCATTTGTGGATTCCCATGCCAATATCAAAATGACTGCCAACTGGGTCATCTGTAAGAACAATTTTGGAGGCAATGAATTAAAATACCAGAGACAAAATAGTGAACTTTCAAGTCAGACCTGAGCAGAGATCTGCTACTTATTAGATATAGGATTTGGATTGAATCATCTTGCTTCTCCAACCCCCAGTTTCCTCATAGGTAAAAATGGCACATACCAATAGTCTTCTGTTTATCCTCCAGTGTTGTGAAAATGAATATGGTACACATATATAAAAGTGTTTCTAAAAATTACAAATCACCATGCAAATTATGTAAAGTGTTTTCCTGCATTTACTCAAAACAGACTGCCATATATTTCTGCCAAAATAGATAATCATTTGATGGATTTAAGCTAAATATTATTGACAAGCCTAATGACATAGAGCTCTAATTGATGGTTCACTATTGACTGACTCCAGCAGGTTCTCTGTCTCTAATAGTGTATGGGGTGGGGAGCTCAAGCATCTCCTGGAATGGTGCCACGCTCCCAGAGAACAGTCACCAGGTTTCCATCTGCAGAGGGCTGGCCAGAGCTGCGGCTGATGGATGGTTCCGGACGTTGCTCAGGACGTGTGGAAGTCCTCTACCAGGGAACCTGGGGCACCGTGTGTGACGATCTGTGGGACCTGAATGAAGCTGAGGTTGTGTGCAGACAACTGAGGTGTGGTCGAGCCATCTCTGCCCTTGGGAAGGCCCACTTTGGCCCAGGGCCAGGGGAAATCCTCCTGGATAACCTCCAGTGTGCTGGAGTGGAACGCTTCCTGGGCCAGTGTGCCCACTCAGGCTGGTTGGAGCACAACTGTGGTCACCACGAGGATGCAAGTGTCATCTGTTCAGGTACCCTTTACCCTCTCAGGTGGGCACTGACAGTGCCAGAGTGCTCCAAGGTCATCCTGCTAGCCAGCAACAGAGACAGTATCCTCAAACCTGCAGCATCCAATTTTGCTGTTCTTCCAACTTGGTTAAGTAGATACGGTTTAACTGTTGACCTCCAGACTAAAACCTGATTTTCTTATTTGGCACTAGTAAGAATTACTAGTGTGTGTATGCTTAGCTTAACATTCAAAGCATATTTTTAATTGAAGGAATTCCAAGAGACAGCTGGATGCAGTAAAACAGGGCAAGACTTCAGAAGGGTTAGATATGAATGTGGCTCTTAGAGCTGGTGTGAGCACTCACACTGTCGGGGCCGCGTTTAAACACTCAGAACCTCAAGCTATAAAATTAGACTATTTGTTCTTCTGCCGGATTGACAAAAGAAGCATGGATGTATTTCACAATGCAATCACATAGTAACTGACAAAAAGGCTCCATATTTGATCATTCTTAAACTGTCATAATTCTAAGAAAATCTGTGAGCTAAAGTTAACTAATGTTAGTTGCATTACAGCAATTTTTAAAATACCTGTACTTACTTAGGTGCAAACAGTCAAGAATAAGTCACTCTGTGATGTGGATTGACAATCCTCTCTTTTTTTTTTTTTTTTGTCTTTTTCCTTTTTTTTTTTTTTTTTTTTTTTTTTTTTTTATTGGTACCGGGGATCGAACTCACGACTGCCTGCTTGTAAGGCAGGTGCTTATGCCGCTGAGCTAAATCCCCAGCCCCTGACAACCCTCTCTTATGACGAGTTGCCCTTGGTAAACTAACAGCTGTAATTCTAAATGTTACTTTAAAGTGGTATTAACTACCTAGAGCTTCCCATATGGGCAGCAGCTCCATTGTATATCCCTACCTGTGGATTTTAATTTGATGTATATATTTAAAAGCATTGTTGTGGGTATTGGTATAGGCAATGGTCCATCTGCAGGCCTTGTGACACCTTATTGCAGTGTCACCTATAATCTACTTAAATATACATGGGCATGACTTACTGCCAAGTTTCAATATTCTAGAAGATGATAGTCTAATCTGAGTTCCCTCCAACAGCCCCCAAAGCAAAACTTGCCTGCTATAAAATCAATAGTGTAAGTCAGACTCCCCAAATACATCCCTCCACACCTGGCCATTTTTATAACACAGTAGCAAATCAACACCCAGAGGAAAGCTTACTCTTATAGATGAAACTCTTTTTTCCTGCACTATGTATTTAAAGGGATTAATGTTTCCTGTATTGGATAAATAAACATGAATAAGAATCTAATTAAAACTTCATTTGCGTTGTTAAAATCAGGATTTCTGGAAAACACTGACATGTTTATTTTCCTTATTTATAGATGCTGAAGAATCTCTGTCTAACAGTTCAGGTGAGTAGTACCTTTTGTTGGTGCAAGTTAAATACCAGTTGGACTTGACTTTGTCCTAAAAAACATGCGTTCCTCCTGCTCTGAGTTCACTGTCCACTTCTTTCCAAATGGTAGAGATTTATACTTTGTTAAACTGCCATTAGAAGGTCTTATTGACATTAATTTTGATTTTTTCATGTGTCATGGTATTGTGTTTGTGTGTGTGCATGTGCACAAACCATGTATATCTTCAGAGACTCATGAAAAACCACTAGCATGGAAATGCACCCTTGTAAATCTCAGCACTTGGAGATTCAGGTAGAAGAACACGGTGAGTTCAAGGCCAGCCTGAACTGCTTAGTGGGACCCTGTCTCAAAACACAAAGAAAGTTCATGGTCTTTTTGCACATCTTCCCTTTAGCTCAAAGACCTTTCCTTGCTTGTCCCTTGCCTAATTCCTTAATGCATTGATCACAGTCTGGAATACTGTATTGTACTGGTGTCTATATTTCACTAGTAAGTAGCCTCTGGGTTTTCTGAGGACAAAAACAGTATCTCTGGTTTATGGCTGAATTATCAGCAACTAATATGGAAGACAATCAATAGATACTGTTGAAGTAAAATTAAATTTGCTATAGATCTCACACCTGGAAACTCAGGAGCCCATGGGAAATGTGAAAAACAGGCCCCTAGGCTCAAGACTGGGGAGGTCCCTTCCCAACCCCTGCTGGAGTCTAATACCGCTAGACCCACATGTGAACTTCTGGGGACCTCACACACACCTCTCTTTGCAGGGAACTGGCCAGAGCTGCGGCTGGTGGGTGGCTCTGGTCGATGCTCAGGTCGCGTGGAAGTCCTCCACCAGGGAGTCTGGGGCACTGTGTGTGATGATCTGTGGGATCTCAATGAAGCCAAAGTTGTGTGCCGGCAGCTGGGGTGTGGTCAAGCTGTTTCGAGCCCTGGTGAGGCCCACTTTGGTGCTGGCACAGGAAGCATCTTCCTTGACAACCTCCAGTGCTCTGGGATGGAGCGTTTCCTGGGCCAGTGTGCCCACTTGGGCTGGTCAGAGCACAACTGCGGCCACCATGAGGATGCCGGTGTCATCTGCTCAGGTATCCACTTTCTTAGGCAAAACTTTCTGCTGTTAGGATTTAAGAACTTTTGGAGTTCTTTCTTGGATTCATTCATCCACTCATTCTTTGAGCGTCTCTTCAAGGCCAGCCCCTGGGCCCAAACATACACCTGTGTGAGCAGTTCTGGATTTGCATAGAGGAGGCCTCAGTGTCCATGAGCACAGCATACCTGGCGCATTACAATGCAGATTCCAGGGCCATGGCCTCACAGACTGTGACTAAGAAGGTTTGGAAAAGGGTTCAGACATGTGCATGTTGACAGGAAGCCCAGGGATTCCACATAGGAGCAGCCAAAGGTGATCCTACCCTGCTGTCAAAGGGCTGAGTAGATCCAGCTGTGTATCAGTCTCTAGATCAAGGACTCTGCTGTGAAGGGAGAGTTGATGTTCCCCTGGGGGCAGTTCTGGTACTCTGGGTTCCTCTACCCAGAAAGGCCATGGTCCTGTCTCCATCTCTGCTGGGACCCTTGTCATCTCACTTCCTCCATACATTGTAGTTAAATAGAGTGACCTGATACCTTCCTTTGTGCTTACAGATGCAGAAGACATGTTTCTACCAACAATTCCAGGTATGTGTGCACTTTTTCTAGTTCAAGCAACTTTCCAACAACAATAATAAGAGCAGTAAATATGTACAAATAGTAAGTACCAGGCATTGTCTTAAAATATGTACATATATACGGATGCCCCAACAATTACACTGAAGTTACTTGCCCATTAACCCACTGCAAGGAGAAAGTATTACAAGTCAAAAAATTCATTTTGTGGGGCTGGGGGTTTAGCCCAGTGGCAAAAGCACCTGCCTGGCTAGCACAGGGTCCTGAGCTCAATCTCCGGTACCAAAAAAAAAAAGGTTCATTTTTGTATACCTAACCTAGTGAACCTCATAGCTTAGCAACCCAGCACACTGTAGAGTGTCACCTTTGTCATAGTGTGGCTGATTGGAACTGTGCTTCACTGCCCATACCTAGCATTTTAAGAGAACAGCATACTACATATTATTAACCCAGGAAAAAAATTCAAATTCAGAATTTCAAGTATGGTTTCTAATGAATGAATATTCTTTTCATACCAGAGTAAAGTTGAAAACTCCTAGTTAAATCCCTCATCAGTCAGGGAGCAGCAGTAACTCATTTAATCTCCACAATAACCTTTTATGCTAAGTGCACTGATTATTTACATTTTCCAAATAAACTGAGATTTAGAAAGTCAGGAAAGTACCAAACGATAGCCAGGCATAGTGGTGGATGCCTGTAATCTCAGCATCTGGGAGGCTGAAGCAAGAGGATTGTGCCTTTAAAGTTGAAGACAAATCTGGATTACTTAATGAGTTCAAGGCCAGTCTAAACTGCATAACAAGACCCTGTCTTGGAAGAAGAAGGAGGAGGAGGAGGAGGAAGAGGAGGAAGAGGAGGAGGAGGAAAAGGAGGAGGAGGAAAAGAAGGAGGAGAAGGAGGAGGAGGAAGAGGAGGAGGAGAAGGAGGAGAAGGAGAGGAGAAGGAGAAAGAGAAAGAGGAAGAGGCAAGGGGAAAGAAGAAACCAAGGTAGCCAGTGGATTTGAACCCAAACTTCTGATGCTTTTAACTATCAGTTTTGTTTACCATCCTGTACAATAGCCTGAGATATACAAAGTCCAAGAAAAATGAAGAGAATATTGTTGAGTGAAAGAAACCATTTTGGATATCTGCTACTTCAAAATTCAGTGACTTAAAACAGCCACCATTTAGATAAAGACCACGTTTTGTGGGTTGAGAACTTGGGCGGGACTTCACTGGGAGATTCTTTTGTCCACGAGAGTATTGATAGAGTCACTCAGTGATGTCCATCAGGTGACTTGTCTGAAGAGTTCACAGTAGTGTCACTGATATTTGGTCGCTGGGTGCAGAGAGGTGGGAGGTAAGGCCCTCTTCTTTCCAAGTGGTCTCAGCAGGGTGCCATAGGGCTTGCATTCAGGAGCCAGTGCATTCAGAGACAAGAAGTAGAAACCACTGGTCCCTCAAGCATAGCATCACTTTTGGCTCATTCTGTTATTCAAAACAGTCACAGAGCCCAGCCACATTTATGAAAGGAAACCTGGACCCCAGACCACAACAGAAAGTATACCCAAGAATGTAGGGCTTGGTTTAATTCACCACAGGACCATAGAAAATATTCACTCAGTATCTTCAGACACTTTTCACTTTGCAATGAATTCACTGATGTTTCTGAGGAATTTTTACACTTCTTTAATTATAGATAAGATGAATTTTTTCCTGTGTGTCATTGTTATTTCCTTTTCTCCCTTCCAGGTCTTTCTACAGCTTCTCAGGATCATATAACAGGTAGTAACTTGTTTAAGGTTGAAATGGTATCTTTATGTCAAAAACTCCTCCCAGCAAACGTTAATGTGTCAGGAACGTGGCACAAAGGAGACACTGACCCAGTGTGAGCAAAGGACCTACGTCTCTGCTGGCACTATTAATGCTGACTTTTAACAAGCAGCAGGCTGGGCGGAAGGGCTGTGATATGCCCAGGTCAGAGTAGGCAGCAGGGTGAAAGAGAGGGGAGAAGACAGCTCCTCTGTCCACCTGACTCATGCCCTGCACTGCAGCAGGTGCTCCATCGTCGTCTGCCATACACCCATAGTGATTACAGGAAATTCAACTATAAGAGCTTCAAGGTCAAGCTGTCCTGGTCTGATTATTGTTATCTGTGAATGTGATCAATGAGAAATCTACAGAGGACCCTCAACTTCACTTGACCACTGAGCGTGAGCTGGACACCATGTAACCACATCCTGACATTGTTTTTCTGTGTTTTCAGGAGGAAGTAATTCTTGTGGAGGGGTCATTTCTAGTCTCTCTGGCTCATTTTCTAGCCCACAATATCCAGAAAACTACCCAACAGACATCCAGTGTATTTGGGAGATTCATGTGGATAAAAAATTCCGCATAGAACTCACGATTCCAATTTTGAAGTAAGACAATAACTTTCAAAGGGAAGGTTTTATCTAAATAAGAATATTGGTGCATGAAATTATAACAAAGATATTTCTTCTAGTGGGAAACTTTTAAGGGTGAATAACTCAGAAGAACACAGGTGGTCAACGCTCAGATTAATTTTGCAGTGCTAACTAGTGAGTCATTTGTAGCCTAAAAAATTCAGCAAGTAGTTTAACATATTTGACTTAACCTAACTTGGTAGCTTTCCTTTTTATTTTCCCTAAAAATACTTAACACTTTTTCCCCTGTGGTGCACTAGGTACCTATATTTGTCCTCTTTGATATCTCTTTTAATCTAAATTTAAATGAACAATAAGAGCACTTCCTGTGAGTCGGTACCATGCACAGGCTACAAGGAGAATAACCAGACATCACCCGCTTCCTGTTAGCACCATTCACAGGCTGCAGAGAGAATCAAACGCCAGCTTCTGCTAAGCCAAGTTTCTCCCCACATCCCCTCCATAAGCAACCAGCTGGTCCGGAGAAACACAGGCTGAGATGATAGCGATTGAAGTAAAATACAACTTAGTTCTTGTAGTGTTTCGTGATTCATTGAGCTTGCAGGCCTAAAGCTGGTAGTCTTATCATCTAGTTAGGGGATAACAGTATACAATATCGCATCTATGGGGGATCGCCTTCTGAAGGTGGTAGCCATTGTTAATTCCCCATTATCTTGTTTTAAAGTCCTGCATCATTTTCATTGTTTTGTTGGGTTGGGTTTTATTCTGTTTTGTCTTGTTTGACTTTATTTTATCTGATGGTATGGGCAGCTATTTCAAAGTTAAGATATATTGTGATAGCCATTTTGGATTTACTGTTATCTTGTTTTGAAGTCCTGTATTGCATTCATTGTTTTGTTTTTATTGGTTTTGTTCTGTTCTGTTCTGTTTGATTTTACTATGTCTGATATGGGCAGCTATTTTGAAGATAACAAGAGGTATTATGGCAGCCACTGTTGATTTCCTATCATTTTGTTTTAAAATGCTGTATCACTTACCCGCTTTGTTTTGATTGGCTTTTTTCTGTTTTATTTTGCTTGATTTTATTCTCTTTAGATTATTAAAAATAAGTAAATGAACAGAAAGAGATGTATACATACATTAGCCAACTACTTCAACCTTGAGCTGTGCAGCTATGAAATATTCCACAAAGTGACAGAGCAGAGTCATTGCTTCATCTCTGACATGAAGACAATAGATGGTCCACAGCCACTGCCATTTTTTTAAATAAAATAATAGTTCATATTTTAAAATATTGATTTTTTGCCCAGTTTCTATAGTATACAATTTTATGCTTTACTATATTCTGAGATCATTAGAGTTTCTTCATCATCCTTCTTAAAGATGAGGAAACTGAGATTCAGATAAGATAACTAACTTGCCCAAAACCAACCCATGTAGGTTTATATAATAGTCACTTTTCTTGTTGCTGGTACAAAATACCTGACTTCTGCAATTTAAAGGAGAAGAGATTTATTTTGGTTTGTGGTGTCAGGGGTCTAGTCTGTGACTGGCAGGCTCTAAGGCAGACATATCACAGTGGAGCAAAACCACTCACTTTATGGAAGTCAGGGGAAGAGCACCAGCAAGAGAAACACCCTCCAAAGGCATTCTCAGCAACCCACTTCCTCCACCTGGGCCACATCTCCTGACAGCACATTCAGCTATGCAATCAATGGACTAATCCACTGATAAGTGTTGTGCCCCCGTCCAGTCATCTATGCAGGAGTCCCTTAATCCATCTAGCTAATAATTAAGATTAACGGGCATAGTCTGTCTGAGGTCAAAGACTTAGGTCTTCACCAATATGTGGTTCTGTGAGCAGTCCACTCAAAACAATCTTTCTGTTTTATGTGCCATACATCATATTATGCATACATCAAGACTATGGAATTCCATAGTAAACTAACTAGCCTCAGCCAGGCACTGAGCTATTGTTGAGTCACAACTATACCAAGCATGGATTCAGGCATCTTTACCTCTCCCCATAAAAAGACTTTAAGCCATGATACCATACTATCTTTTTTGACTGGAACTTAGGAACTCCATCAACCCACAATTAAGCTACCCATACCCCCCAAGCATATCGTGTTGATATTAGTTATCTATTCCTTCAAAATTACTCCTGATCACATCATCCACAAATAATTATTACAATGCAAGCAATCTTCTAATACTGCAATTATTTTCATTTTAAAGTATGTTTTTCTTCCCAAGTATTTGGGTACGGAAACTACTGTGGAATACAGAGGCAGAAAAATCTGACTCTGATATCTGTTACATGCTGAGCTAGAGTGACCTATTAAGAATTTAGTTCAAGGGGGCTGGGGATTTATCTCAGCGGCATAAGCGCCTGCATTGGAAGCAGGCAGTGGTGAGTTCGATCCCTGGTACCGGTAAAAAGGAAAAAGACAAAAAAAAAAAAAAAAAAAGAATTTAGTTCAAGTGTAAATCATTGTTTATTAGTGCCTCATATAGGTTGTGACTGGCCAAAGCCATTATGATTCTAAAACTTATTATAAGTTTGTAACCATAAACTTCATACATTCCTTGGACAAAGAAAATAGAGTTCTTATAAAACATCTGAAAAGTTAATAAATATTTACTCTTCTATTTATACTATAATCCAAATATTTGAGCTCTGTGGTTATCACCCTTTTCAAGCATTAATGTCTGGGAAATTTTTAACCTGTCACTAACCCTCCACTTCCATTCCTCTAGATTAGAAGATGTCCTTGGATGCCCCTATGACTCCCTGGAGATCTTTGATGGCCCCAGAATTGCTTCACTGTCCATGGGGAAACTCTGTGCTCCAGTAGCTGTGATGTTTTTCTCCTCCTCAGACATCATGACAGTGGTGTTCCGAAGTGATTCCATGATAACCAACACTGGCTTTCATGCTCTGTTCAATGTGGTTCCACAGGGTGACAGCAAATCAGGTGAGAATCCTTTGTAGCTTTTGATCTATAGTGATGGAAGGATTTCCAACTTGAGAGACTCCATTAGCAGAGCTCTGGAATTGAGTTTTAAAAGACCGCTCAGTAGCTCAAGACTACTATGTACTCATTCAGTAATATTTAAGCAGGTCCTACTATGTTGCAGACTCAAGTTCACGGTAACCCAGAAAACAACACAGCTCCCTGCAATGTATTCTACTGTAGATATGAGTAAGGATGGCAAGATCAATGATGACACAAGAAACAAATAAGTAAGATGGCTTATGGAGAAGGATGACAAAAAGTAAAAATAAAGCCTGGGCGGGCAGTACAGTGGAGTGTGTCTGGATGGAGATACTCACGTAGACTGGGTGGGAATGAATGACCTGGATGAGGAAGTGACATGTAGGAAGAGCAAGAGGTTTCCACACAGAGAAAATATCAATGCAAAGGATTTCTGGAGAAGAGTTTGACATAGTGCAGCAGCAGAAAGAAGGGAAGTGTAAAAAAGTCTGTGGGTACAGTAAGGGGAAGCTCTCTATGGGATGTAAAACCCACTATGTAATTCCAACTGACCATAGCTGCTTAGCCCAGAAATAGTGTCATTGGGCTCTGTGAAGTCATGGTAACCTTGGTGGTGCAGCCCTTCCATATAATTAAATCTACACTCACAGTCCCTTTCATATAATTAAATCTACACTTTTCCAAGAAACATTTCCTAAAAAATAAAACAGCTGTTTTCTCCAGTTACTGGCATTTCAACCCAGACAACCACATGGCAAGATTTGCATTGGCTGTGATAAACTGATTGCTTTGTGCACATAACTCTCATTGACTTGCTTTTTTGGGTTAGATTCTGCTGGGGCCGCCCATTCTATAGATGAGAGAGCTGAAGCCCAGAGATACAAAATAACTTTTCAAAGGTCACACAACTTAAAACCATAGAAATTGGATTCAAACTCACTTCTGTCTCATTGTAAAGCCCTTAAACCTCTTATGTAATCAACACACCTTTTAGATGTTGCTCTCACTTTGTGCCATACCACAGAAGACAGAAGTCCTTTCTTATGTAAAGCTTCCCAAACTCAGAAAAAAATTTCCCCATTTAGAAGATGCACCTGTGCTGCGGCTGGCGGGCAGCTCCAATCGATGCTCAGGTCGCGTGGAGGTCCTCCATCAAGGGGCGTGGGGCACCGTGTGTGATGACCTGTGGGACCTGAATGAAGCTGAAGTCGTGTGCAGACAGCTGGAGTGTGGACAGGCAGTTGCTGCTCCTGGAAATGCCTACTTTGGCAGAGGTTCTGGAGACATTCTTCTGGACAACATCCAGTGTTCGGGAAGTGAGAACCATCTTGGCCAGTGTCCCAGCTCCGGCTGGTCAGACCACAACTGTGGCCACCACGAGGATGCTGGTGTGGTCTGCTCAGGTACCCTCTCCCTGCACTGTACATTCTTGGTACAAGAAATCTCAATGATGGTTGGAATCCATGCACAGAACAGAGCCAGGGAATCCAAGGACAGTGGCCAACAGACGAACATCTTTTCAACCAGGTAGACAAAGAAATCTGAGACTGACTTTCCTGGAGACAAATGCACCTGGGCCATAAACTATCTGGTCCTGTTCTCTGTGCCTTTCCCAGTTGTGCAGTTGTTTTTCCTTAGAAAGTTATGTCCTAATGCTTGCTTAAGTAACACAAAGCCTGTCTGGTTGAGACCTGTCTGTGGTAGCAAAACCACAATGTCTTTGTTTACAAAGAATTTAGATTTCCTAAATTTACTTATTTTCCACATGTGCAGATGCTGGGAACTGGGCAGCAGATGTGACACCTGCACCCTCAGGTAGGTGTGTGTATATTTCCATCTCTGCAAAATTAAGGAGAAATCAAATCTGTATCCCGATATAGATCCTGGTGGACAGTGACCAGGTTGGTGGACCAATTAATGATTTCTAACCATGGTTGCACACTAGAATCATCCAGGGAGCTTCTGAAATTTCCCATCCCAAAGCTGTACCCCAGTCTGATCACATCAGTTATATTTAAATCTCCCCATGTGAGTCCATTGTGCCATAAAACAGTGGTTCAGCCGAAGGGATAAGAGTCACATTTCCCAAATCACATTAAGCAAAAAGAGGGTCTGACATGAGGAGAGAAGGTGGAAAGACTTGTATCACAGGGAAACAAGCTAGAAAATGAAAGCATGCCAATAAGCAAAGCTGCATTCACTATCAACCTGTGGGTCAAGAGTAGATTCATTTTGGGCCCTTAAATAAGAGCCTTTTGACTTAGTCAACACAGGGTAGACCTTCTAGAATCCACTCAGTGTTGATGTGGAGCGCTAACCTTCCCATCTAAATCCAGTACACCTGTGGTCCTGCCTCTGCCTGCTTCCTAGAGATGAGTTCTCAGCTGCCCTCTTCCCTGCCCCTGAGTCCTGGGCATAGCTCTTCCCCAACACTGCCTAGTGCTTGTTTCAAACCTGGGTTACCAGTGAGGGTATGAGCATCAGGAAGATATCAAAGTCAAAGGGCACAATCTATAGGGTTCACCATGAGCACTGGCAGCTTTCCCTACCCTGGGCTAGCAGCATCATTATATATTTGATCAAACTCAGTGGAGTTCTCTTGCCCATCTGTATCCAAGTTCTGGGTGCATTCCAGGCTGAAGGGCATCATTCCTTGAGGGTTGCCCAGCTGCTATGGGTTGGCACAGTAGACTGTGGGAAGGGAGACTGATTTATGTACCGCTGATTAATATCCTCTATTTTCATTTTTCACTATGCCACAAATTATATAACAGCTGTGGAGGGAGGGTAGGGCACACAGAAGCCTTTTTCAGGGTCTAACAAGTGGTTGAGATTCCTTTGATTCCCTGTGGCTTTCATCTTCTTTCTCAGTGAGGAATCCATTCTAGCTGGGTCCAGGGAGGAGGAAGGGATGGCAGGATGAGAGCAGGTATCACCTTCAGTTTGTCAACTGGCTCTGTGCTCAAATTCTCTTACATCCTGAGGTTTCAAACTGCAGAGAGAGTTTTTCCTTTTCTCCCTACTGTAATATAATATTTTCTGAGGCACACATGCATGGTTGGCTGCAGAAGAGATCAGGGGATTAAAGAAATTATCCAAGGAAAGCAAACCTTTTGTGCCTAAAGAGCATTCCACTCTGTTAATTCGGTGAACCACTTATTACCTACATGATATACCTACCCACACATGAAAAGCTATAGCATTTGTCGTTTAATTATCTGAGGAGATTATTGTATGTATATCAAACATTTTAACAAGAGAAAATTGCTCCTGGGACACCTAGATTAGGGTTTTTTCTGCTTTTATCCATTCTTGTCCTTGGCAAAGGAACAAGAAGAATAGGCAAGTGAATAGTATCCATCACCTTCCCTGTTCTGCCCCTTACAGCAGAGCTGGAAGAGGAGTGAGACACTGAGGCTAAAAGAACATTCAAATCACCTACCCTCTCTGCTTCAAATCTTTCCTTACCAAATCCTTCATGTAAAAATCAAGTAGGCACCAGGATTCCAATCAATGGGCTTTCAAAGCTGGTATGCCCTCAGGCAACACTATGTTGGGAATTGAGGACATGGAATGTTGAATATGGAAATGTATGCTATATAGAAATCAAATCGAACAGTACATATGAAAGAAGAAGGACCTCAAACATGCATCAGAGCCCTCTACTGAGGCCCATCTGCCTTCAGCAGGACACTTTTCCAGCTTACCCTCACTTCCTGGCTCTAAGATTTCTGTATTTTGTCTTATGGATTCTGGCACCTGATGAACTTTTAAGGCACAGTGGCACGATCATGAGCCATGTGACGTTACTGTGGTAATTCCTAGTAACTGGTCAGTCTTGGGGCAGCCCTTGGTTTCGTGGATAACCGATAACAAAAAATAAGTTAGTTAGCTATGTATTGTCTGTAATTGCCTGTTGAGTCCACTAAAAGGAGAGAAATATTATCTTAGATTAGGGAAAAAGGAGAAATGAGTATGTCCACACCACTTGTTAAAACTCAGAAGCACTAATATGTTCATTCATTTGTAATTAAGTATAAGATAGTTTTGTGACACTAAGCTCTCTTCTTTCTCTGGTTGATTTTTATAGCTTCCATTCCTCAAGGCCCAGTACAAGGTAAACCTTTTTGTTAAAATTTGACCTATAAAATATTGAGTGGAATGATGTCCAGTAGCTCATAAAAGCAGAATAAATTTCAGTCTATCCTATTTGCCATGAGGGAAAGGAATAGGTATGCTGGATCCCTCACTGTCAGGTAACAGTTTGTCCACTTCTAGGTTGAGCTGGGTTTTGTAACAGGAATCTTGGAAGAGCATTAAAGAAACATAGCTTGGACATCACATATATGCTACATACAGATGCCCAATGCCAATCTCAGTTTCACCTACAACCAGTTTTAGACATCTTTCATCCCTTCTCAGCGTCCTCTTAGAGGAAAAACTGCTCACACCAGCCAAGCCACAACCATGTTCTGTCCACCCAATTTTGTGATTCCACTGTTGAACTTGGGATTTTAGGTTCTACCTGGAAAAATGCAAAGTGCTTGCTTAAAGTAGCCAACCGTGGGCCTCTTGTTTGCTTTCACAGGAGGAAGTAACTCCTGTGGAGGATTAATTTCAAGTCTCTCAGGCTCTTTCTCCAGTCCTTGGTATCCTACAAACTACCCCACGGATGTAGAGTGTGTGTGGGTGATACACGTGGATGAGAAGTTCCACATAGAACTGATGATCCCAAGCCTGAAGTAAGCAGCTTTTCCTTCCACTACTTTAAAGGCCAGAGTAGGTTGGAATCTGTGCTTTCCTCAGAGGTGGCCTTTCCTTGGGATAAATTCTTTCAATTTTAGGTGAAAATATGTCAGATCATCTAAGCTGTGGGAGTCTTTTAGACCTTTAGCTCAGTTTCTTGTGCAATAAGAGAATAACCCAAGGGCATCCTGGTACCAGGCCATGGAACCCAGATGGAGCAGCCCACACATAAAGACCTCACCCCTACCCTCAGCCAGCTCCACCTGAGATACAAGCCTCTTCCTCTGGCTGAATCCAGATCTGTTCTTCCTCATTGCTGTGGTCTGGTCATTTTCCCCTCTGATACTACACAAAGCAGATCCACTTCCTCATCTCCTCAAGAATGTCTATCATGTCTCCTCAGGATATTTCGCCTACAAATTAAACACCTCATTCACTTCACCCAACATGCACTATATGCATCCTGCTTCTTTCTTCAACTATCACTCATTTTAAAGGAACTTATGTTATTTCAATGCATATTTAAAAGCATGTATATACAGTCATCCTTTGGTGTCCATGTGGGATGGTTCCAGGATCCTTCTTGGCTAGCAAAATCCGTGACGCTTGAGTCTTTTCTACAAAATGGTATATAGTATTTATGTAGAACATAAAAACATCCTCCTGTATTCTTTAAATCATTGTTTATTATTATAATACTGCATACAATGTAAATTATGTATAAGTAATGATACTGCATTATTTAGAGAATAATGGCAACAAATCTGTACATATTTAATATAGATGCACTTCTTAAAAAAATATTTTTTGATCCACAGTCAGTTGAATCCTCAGATACAGCCCACAGATGCCAAAGCCCACTTGTACAGACATGTGTATGTTCATATATAATACATACATATAAATGAGTATATTTTTTAAGAAAAAATAGTATAAATAAATATATTTTACTAATATAGTAAAAGTTTGAAAATTCTTATGGCAAAATTACTTTTCCTGATAATGTCTAACTCTGCTTTTGTCTTTCTATACTGGGTTGCATCTGGCTCATTCTCCCTTTCTAACTTTGTCCCACGGTGTATCCCAGAACTATGCCACTACCTTCCATTTGTATACTGTGGCCACAGCAGTTATGAGTCTGAATGCTGTTGTTAAAAGTGTGAAAGTTGTGAGCAATGAAGGGTGACTTGAACTAAGCTTACCTAGTGGCTACATTCCTTCTTGATGAAGAAGATGTAAATAGAGGAAATTATGTATTGTGAGGAAATTACATCATTAACTCATTCACTTAACTGGCATTTATTTATTGGAAGCAGTATGAGATTTGGTGTCATATATTTTGAATCTATAAAATTCACAGTTCTAATGTTTTGGGGCACAGAATTATCATTTTATTATTTCTAGAAAACTTATTCCAAACAGATATAGTAGCCTGCATGCTCTGTACTCTAGAAGTAGCCACTCCAGCATAAACTTCTTTCCACAATTTTGAAGCACACAGATCAAGTAGTTGTTTTGTGTTGCCTAGAACCAGAGCACAATTGCTAATTGGGGAATTTTGATATTTATAAGTCTAATTTTATTTATGTTTGCTTTCTTTTTCAAGACAAAATTGTTCATTGCTTGCTAAGCAGTTCTCTATGTGTGATTATACCTTTTTACAGGACAGTTGGCTAAGTCTGGAGACGCATTGCTTTGCTTTACTTTGTTTTGCTTTTGTTGTGTTTTCTGAGGCGACATCTTGTTATGTAGTTCAGGATGGCATTGAACTCACTGCATATCCCAGGCTGGCCTTGAACTGGCAGCAATCTTCCTGCTTCTTGGAGACATTTTGATTGTCATGAGGGATGCCACTGCTGGCTGGTGGATGGAGGTCCGGGATGCTGCTAAGTGTCCTACAGTGCTCAAGACAACTCTCCACTCCTCATTTCTCACTAGTCCTGCAAAAAATTATCCAGCATCAGTGTCACTAGTGTTCAGATTAAGAAAACCTGATTTATGTGAAGCTTGATTTGTTTTTCTATTTCAACTCCTATAGAATTTTGTTTTACACTTGATTTGTAAGAATTATATCCACACTGAAATTATGGTATTTCACTCTTACTAAAAGTATCCTGGTAATAAAAGTAACTAAATAATTTCTCAGACACAGTGTCACCCATGTTAAAAGGGGTAAACTGAGACCCAAAAAAAGTTTAGTGATTTTCAAATTGAGTACATTGGTACCTTTTAGGTACAAATAATGATCACATCTATCATAGGGAATTTGTATGTGTATGGAATCTTGATTCTTTTTTCCCATTCCCCTATTCTCCTTCCCCTCCTTATTTATGAAAGCCTTTTCCATATTTTTCTTCTTTTCTCATTATTTCCCCTTCATTCCATTCCCCCTACCCCATCCCTGATTCCCCTTTCCATTTGAATATTTTCTTCCTATTTCAGAATATCTATTGTGTATTTTAGTCCTTATTTACACTGTCTGCTTCTCACACCAAAGAAACAATGTGGTATTTACACGTGTATCCAATTTATTTCTCTTAAAAGCATGGCTGCAAGTTTCATCCATTTGCCTAGCAATGTCTCAAGTGTATCCTTCTTTACGGTTAAGTAGTACTGCATTGCATTAAAAAACCTACATCTTCTTAAAATCTGTTCATTGAGTAATAGGCATGTGGGCTGTTTCCAAGATTTAGCTATTACAAAATTCGCCACTAAACATGGATGTGCATAATTTCTATGACATGATGCATTTAATTATTTGAAGAAGATACCAAGAAGGGGACTAGCTGGGTCTAATGGAACTTAGTTTTAGTATTTTGAGAATCATCACACAATGATTTTCACAGTGGTTGCATCAGTCTACACTCCTGCCAACAGTGGAGAAGGATTCCTTTTTCCCCAAACCCCCACTAGTCTTTGTTACTGGCTGATTTCTTGGTAACAATTATTCTTTCTGGAATAAGATGGAATGTCAGAATTGTTTGAATTTGTGTCTCTTGAATCACCAATGATTTTGAAGAATTTTTCATCTACTTGATTGCCATTTTTATTTCTTCATCTGAGAAGTTTCTCATTTCATATTCCCATTTTTGGATTGGGCCTTTAAATTTGGCAGGTCTGATTTTATTGAGTTCTTTATGTAGTCCAGATATTAGTCCTTTGTTTAAGGAGGAACAGCTGGAAAATATTTTTCCTACACTGTGGGTTGTGTCTTTACTGTGTTGGTTATTTCTTTTGCTGTGCAAATCTTTTTACTAAGAGGAGAATCAAGTTGTTGATTCTTTACAATAGTTACTGTGTGATTGGAATTTAGTTCATAAAGTCTTTTCCTACACTGATGCCTTCAAGAGTTCAACCTGTTCTATCTTCCAGCAGGTTTAATGCTTCTGTCTTATTATTTAGATCTTTGATCTATTTCAATTTTATTTTAGAGAATGGTGATAGACATGGTTTTTATTTTAGTCTTTGGCATGTGGAAAACCAGTTTTTCCAGCACCATTTATTAAATAGTCTATCCTTCTTCCAGGGAATGTGTTTGGCTTTGTCAAAGATCAGGTGGCTGAGTGCATTTGGAGTTGTTTCTGCATCTTCTAGTCTGTTCATTCCATTGATACTGGGGTCTTTTTTGGCTGTACTATGCTGTTTTTGCCACAGTAGCTTTGTAAGATAATTATAAGTCTAGAATTATGACCACTCTTTGTTGCCGAGTATTACTTTTGCTATTCTAGGTCTTATCTGGTTCCAAATGAATCTTACTATTGCTTCCTCTTCTTCTGTGGTTTGGAATTTTGATCAGAATTTCACTAAGTCTGTATAACAATTTTGGAAATATGTCTTTTTTCACTATCCTAGTTCTTTCTACCCAAAACTAAGGCATATCTTTCCATCTTCTGATATCCTCTTCAATCTCTTTTTTTTCAGAGTACTATAATTTTCAATGTAGAGGTCTTTTACATCCTTCATTAGATTGGTTCCTAGGTATTTCATTTTTTTGGATGCTATTTTAAAAATATTATTTCCATAATTTTTCTCTCAGTAAGTTTGCAACAGGAAGGCTATTGATTTTTAAGTGTTGACTTTGTATCTAGCCACACTACTGAATTCAGCTACAAGACTACAAGACCTTTGGTGGAGCTTTTAGGACCTTCTGTGCAGAATGTCCTGTCATCCTCAGAGAATGATAATTTGTCTTCTTCCTCTCCTATCTTTATTCCTTTTAATTCTTTCTCTTGTCTAATTTCTCTGGCTAATGTTTCCAGAACTATATTGAATAAAAGTGGCAATAGTGAATATCCTTGTCTTGCTCCTGATTTTAGATTTAAAGCTTTCTGGTTTTGTCCATTTCGTATGATGTTGGCTTTTGGTTTGTCATAGATGACTGTCATCAGATTGAGATAAAGACCATCTATCCCAATTTTCTGTAGGGTTTTATGGTGGGTATTCAACTTTGCTAAAAGCTTTTTCTCCATTTATTGAGATGATTATATGGTTTTTCTCCTTGGTTCTGTTAATACGATGTATTACATTTATTGATTTGCATATGTTGAACCATCTCTGCATCCCTGTGATGAATCATACTTGGTAATGGTGCATGATCTTCTTGATGATTTGATATATTCTGTTTGCCAGTATCCTTATTGAGGAGTTTTGTATCCATGTAGTAAGATTGGCCTGTAATTCTCTTTTTTGGGGGGGGTGGATTCTTCTCTGGTTTTGATATCAGGGTAATGTTTGCTTCCAGTAATGACTTTGGGAGTATTTCTTCCCTTTCAATTTTATTAAAGAGTTTGAGAAGTAGCAGCATTAAGTCCTTTATAAATTTCCTTTAGAATTCAACAGTAAATCTGTCAGGACATGGGTTATTCTTTGTTGGTAGGATTTTAATATCTTCAATTTCATTGATATTGGTTTATTTAATGTTTTATATCTTCTTGATTCAGCTTTGATAATTCACTTGTATCTAAGAATCTGTTCATATCTTCTGCATTTTTTATCT